ACAGGTAAACTAGCTCAGATTGAGTTCACTTGGGGTCTCCTAGTTCAATCTCTGACTTTACCTGTTAAGAGCTGTAGAGCCTGGAAAACAGAAAGTTACCTGGCCATGCTGGGCCTCACCCACATTTTATTTCATTGCGGCATACCAAGCCTAACCAGATTGCCAAGTGGGGCTCAGGCCGAGGTGATGCCGCAAAGTCCTTAGAGAGGAGAACCAGACCCGGTGGAGGTTTTTCTTCGCACTTCTTCAAGTGTCCCAGCTGACAAAATAGTGCAGCCAGTGAACCTGCCTAAGGAAACAGCATATGGAAATCCAGTCGGAAGAGTGCATAAACTATCATCATCATGTGTGTGTGTGTGTGTGTGTGTGTGTGTGTGTGTGTGTGTGTGTGTGACGTGCAGCTGCTAACTTGACCTTCTGCAGAGGAAAAGACATCAGCACATAGCCCTAGAGCAATGGCTCTCAACCTCTCTAATGCCATGATCCTTTAATACAGTTCCTCATGTTATGGTGACCCCAACCATAAAATTTTTTTTCATTACTACTCCATAACTGTAATTCTGCTACTGTTATGAGTCATAATGTAAATATTGTTTAGAGACAGAGGTTTGCCAAAGGGGTCACAACACATAGGTTGAAAACCATTGCCCTGGATGAATATATTGAGTTTCTGGTCGTGAATGCTGGAGCTTTTAAAATGTTATCTTCCCCTACCCCATAGAGTCAGCCTGCTTCAGTCACTGAAGGCTATCATTGGCAGCAAACATCAGCAGTAAGGGTCACAGGGGTCACCTGCAATGTCTAACTAGGCTCTTCTGTGCAGATGGTATTTCTACCAAGCCCCTCCCACAAAGCACTGGTCCAAGAGAGACTAGCATTGTACAGATTGCAGTCTTTCTGGAGCTCTCGTTCTCTTTTCCGGGTATTCTCCAGCCAAGGCGCACGCTGAGTCAACTGAAAGCAGAGACCCTTGCCTAAGAGCAGCATTCCTCTGTGACTCGGGCTGAGTTCTTAGGAGACAGGAGGGTGTGCTCACGGGAGAGGATGTCGAGGATGCCTGGATCTGTTCAGAAGGTCTGATTCAGAGAGCCTAGAATGGCGCTCAAGCCCTCTCCACACCCGCTGCCTTGGATGCCAGGGCTCTGTATCCATTTATTTACTCTCTTGCAAGGCTTGGCTAGTTTTAGAGAAGTAGTTAATATTTAATGTGTCTTTGGATAGGAGGCCCTGACTATAGGCTGTGCACGTTTCTTAGCTTGTTCCCTTTACCCCTTAAGTCTCCGAAAGAGGTCAAGGGTGAAAAGATACCAAACTTTCACCTTGAGTGCTTTGCTTGTTTCTCGGGCTTCTTATCAGGCCAGAAATGCCGAGAGTTTCGATTGCTGCCCTGATACAGCCCACAAGTTTCAAGGTTATACATTTGGTAGAAGGAAATAGCACGTCTAGGTTAGGCCAGGCCGGGGAAGGAGAGAGGTGGGAGAAGAAGAGGTGTTTTCTGCTCAGAGGGTCTGAGTCAGAGAACTGGGTGTGGAGTCAGGGGTCCAGCAACTGATTGCTCGCGCATCCTGAGGTTACGTGGCGCCGACATCTGCGCCTGCTGTTTTTTTATTCCCTTATGCCTGCTGTCTGTTGTCAGGATAACCAACTGACCTAGAAATACAAAGCTGAACCCAATAATGCACAGGATTTAAGGTATGACGCAGAAGAGAAGGGGATCTTTGGACTTTTGGTAGCGGAGTGGCCAATGACCCTTACTTGCGTGTGCTGACATCTAGTCAGTCTTGAGATGTCTTCGGTAGGGTGAGGCATTCCTACTTCACTTAGGAATCTGGGAAGAGCCCCAGTTTTCTCAGCTGTGGAAGGAAGAAAATGCTACCAGACTCTCCTGAAGATCCTGTTGGCATGTCTGAGAGCGCTTTGTAGCGGCAGCATGCAGATGGTGTGAAGCAGAGCTGTGCCCACTGTCCCTCCTCAGCTGCTTCTGGTGTAGAAACAAGAGTGCAGTGGGCTTCCCTGGCAGGAACCAGAAGCCAGCGACCCACAGGACAGCCTGAAGCACACAGAGAGGAACAAAGGTAGCAATTTTCTCTGAAAGTAATAAGAGGCACCACCCCACCCATTTGGAGAAAATATCCCATTCATTGTAATGAGTCACCTTAAAGATTTATTACTCATTAACCATGGAAAATCGGAGCCAAAAATAGCCCCTTGAATCCACACTGACCCCTTGAAAATAATGGTTTTTGTCTTATACAGTGCCTATTGGGTGCTCACAAATGATAATCTAAACAAACATTCTCCAAATTCTTCTGCGTCACTTACTCTAGGGGAAATAAAATATTATGGAAAGGCTTACAGTGGTGTGTTCAGGCCAAGAAGAAGCCTCCATCCAAGTAGCTCACCCAATAGGCTTACTCAGACAGCATTGTTTTTTAAATTAAGTTAGCTCTTCGACAGTTCCAGACATGTATATAATTTATTCCGGTTGCTCTCTCCCACGGTCTTCCTTGCTTTCCTCCTACCCCATCATCCTTTCCTCTTCCCTACCTGTCCCTCTCCCGCTCTCCCAGATTCATGACTTGAGACTCTGTTGTGTGGCCCATTTAGTTTATTCAGTGCCATCTTGGTGACCAATGGTGGGCTCACCAAGGGGTACACTGAATTCATGCTCCCCTTTTCCCTGAATCTATCCCTAGGAAACAGCTCAGCAGTGAGGGATAGGGCCCTGAGTCCCTCCTCCATCCTTGCTTGGCCATTGGTAGGCCCATTCTTGTGCAAAACCAGTGCAGTCTTCAGAAGTGGATATGCCATGCCTAGATGGTGACATTTCACACACACACACACACACACACACACACACACACACACACACACACACACCTACCTACTGCATTTCTGGCTCTCTCAGTCTTTCTTTCTCTCTCTCTCTTTCTTTCTTTCTTTCTTTCTTTCTTTCTTTTTAAGATTTATTTATTTATTATGTATACAGAGGAGGGCGCCAGATCTCATTACAGATGGTTGTGAGCCACCATGTCGTTGCTGGGAATTGAACTCAGGACCTCTGGAAGAGCAGTCAGTGCTCTTAACCTCTGAGCCATCTCTCCAGCCCTCTCTCAGTCTTTCTACCCACTCTCCCACAATATTCCCTGAGCTTTGGTGGGACAGTATGAATGTCTTGTTTAGGACTGAGCACCCCTGTTGCCGACACTCGGCACTGTGTGCAGACATGTTTCTGCAGACAGCAGTTCTGGGTGGCCTTGCGGAATGTTAGGAATAGTGATTGTCTGAACCTGGACAATCACTAACGAAACGCATAGCGGAAATGACTAAAGTTAGTCCACAAAGGTCTTGAGCTTCTGTCTCTTTGGGTTTGGGATGTTGAGGAACTGACCTCATGGAGAAAATGCTAGAGCTACCCCACACAGTATTGATTAGCATAGGGCTTCTTTGTTGTCCTTTCCCTTCTGGGCTGTTCCTCATTTCCTGAGAGGCTCTGAACCCTGTGTGACTCAGGACCATCTCTCTCCCCAGCATCCTGCTCATCCTTCCATGCCCCATTTACGGGTCTCTCTAAGCAGGGGAGGAGCCTTGTGAGGCCTTGCCTTACCCTTGCCAGTGTGACCAGGTTGGAAGACTGGTTCACCTAACTGAGCCCAAAGCTCACATTGGCACTGGTACAACTATTGGCAGAGAAATGTGTATCCTGGCATCTAAGCCCCAAGTCCCCAGATCTAGTAAAACATACTGTCCCAGGACAATTTATCTTCTATTAGGAGAGTAGAAGAAATGATTAAAATATAGTATAGTGTTACAAGCAAAATATGGATTTGAATCATATAAGATTTATTGTAATTCTAGCTCTCCCCCAACTTTCTTTTTGCCCTTGCAACTGAATTTTGTTCATAATTCTTTAAAATTTTCATTTTCCATAAGAAGAGTCATTCATGACCTGCTCTTCTCTGGTGGACTATTTCACACAAACAGATGTGAAAAATCCTCAGCAGAGATGAGGTGGTTCATTGCTTTGGTTTGGTTTTTGCTATTTCGATTGCCACAATGAACTTGAACCGTTTCTCCCCATAGAAGCTGGGGTCGGGAGGAGCTCCACTGGACATTTTTCTTGTTCATTTGGCGTAGTCTAGGGAACTTCACTGCGAATGCGTGAATGGCAGAATACAAGTGTCATGTGGGGAAGATGGGGTTGCACTCGACCACTGCAGGTGCCATGTGCCCAGGGCAGAAAGATGACTTCAGCCCACTTGGTGCCAGTGTCATGTGTATGATATTATTAACAGTGATTGCAGGCGACATTCTGGGGCATAAACTGTACTACATAGGCCGTTCCATTTTTCCTGTTCTCATAATAACTCTAAGAAGTACATTATTAAGGCCCTGTTCCTTCTCTCAAGCCTGTAATTCCCCATTTAGACAGAACCCTTCTCTCCAAAACTCTTGTGCTTGGGTTTAATCTGGTCCGAGATGAATCTTGTCTGATTTTTATAAGAATAATGGTAGTTATCCTTTTAATTCCCTTGCTGATTATCTGCTACCAGCAGAGCTGTGTGTGCTAACTGGCCTCTCCTTTAACCCTTACATTAATCATATTTAACAAGTAATTTGCCTAAAATCAACTAACTAAGTGGTTCAACCAGGATTTGAATCCAGAACCCAAGCCCTCAACCTTGTAATATGTATTGGGTTGCAGAATGAAATTGCAAGTTAAACTCCTTGCTTCATAGAGGAAACAAAATCAGCCAAGAGGAAGACTCCAACCTCTTTCCTGAGTCGCCTGCCTCTCTGGTCCCTGAATCCATCCTTCTGCATGCGTTTGAACCAGCTTAGGTGTCCCTCCATGCAGACTGGGGGTGGAGTTCAGACAGGCCTGGCCGTGGCCCCCTTCCAACTCTGTGCTTGCTTGGTGTCTTGCTGCCCTAAAAGCCCCAGGGCCCGCAGTGCTTTGGGAAGGCTCTGCTCACACGTGGCTGTGATTGTTCTCTTTTCAGGCCCAGCTTGGGACATTCTTCACTTCCCTTCACTTCCCCTCTGGGAGTCCCTTTCACCCCCGCGCCTTGCTTCGGGCGGGCGATGCCCAAGAGGGAGCTTTGGCCAGCAGGGCCGTGCTCAGAACCCGGGACCCACATCGGCAGCTGTGACAGCATGATGAGCGCCACCTCCGCCCACTCTGGATCTGTATGTACTCTCTCCCTCTCGCAACCTGGCCTGCTCTGCATCCCCG